AAAAAAAAAAAAAGCAGCTAAAGACTGTAAAACATGTCACCTGTAGCTCATTTTGCAGCTATATATTGTGTTTGATAAAGACATGAAAATCAAGCTGGGCTTGGTCTATATTGAAGAAAAAGCTAGTAATACACTTTTCAGCAAACTCTAGTGAGTTCAGCAGTAACCTAGCCGTGCTAAGCCAGTCCTTAAATTGCCTTTTGGTTTTGACCTGCACTCATTTTGGTGGTGATGGTGGATCCCCTGAACAAGTAACAAAAGCATTTGGAACGAAATGTAATGATTAACTAGCTCTGAAGCTAAACATAATTTTTATTTAATTGAGGTATAATTTGTGAACAGAGAAATGCACGCATTTTATGTGTACAGTTTATAATTTTTAGCAAATGTACATGGCTCCCTGGCCCCTTCCCCAAAACTCTTCTGGTGTCTCTTAGCACAGATTAGTTTGTCTGGGGAACAGGTAATAGTTTTTAAGTAAAAAGAATAATAAAATGAAGATGAAGTTTAGCATTTGCCAGTTTGACTCCATAAGGGTTTGGGATATTTTTCTCTTCCAAGCATGTCTTTAATTGAGTAGGCAACTTTGATTACCTGGATGCTGTAGTTAGCAACTAAGGACGTGGCTTAGAACTGCTTTCACCTTGAGGCAGGTGTGGGATCCGCAGTGGGATCGTCACAGGGGATGCTAAGATGGTAGGAGTCCTCGTCTGTGATGTCCTTGTTTCTTTCTCACTGTGCTCAGGTCTCTCTGAATGTCTTCTTCGGAAAGCCCGGCCCCTGGTTTGAAGATTGTGAGCTGGATGGCGATAAGAACTCCATATTCCACGACATTGATGGCTCTGTGACAGGATACAAGGACACTTACGTGGGAAGAATTGACAACTACCTGATCCGCCACCCAAGCTGTGTGAACGTTACCAAGTGGAATGCCGTGGTCTGCAGCGGGACCTATGCCCAGGTAGGCCCAGCGGCACAGCTTCTGTGAGGAGCACTCCTCATGTTGAAGGAAAAGCTAGTCACTCATGTTTTCAGTGTGATCCATGCTTTCCAAAGCATGAATCTGTTAGTAAAAAAGGAAAGAAAAAGAAAATTCATGGACTCACAGACTTCTACTCTAATCTCCCCCGCCAGAAATGATGTAACAAGTGAAAAAGTGAGTCCCGGGGAGGTGAGGTGATGATTCTCCCTCGGTTGGGAGATTGTGGGGATAAGAACCCACATTTCTCGACTCACATTTTCTTGCCATGCTACTGCTGTGTCCCCTAAGAAGGAGCTTTGGTTTCAGGGTCATAATTCTATTTAATTAGGGAATCTGACTTTTGATGGCAGAATATGAATAGGTCACATGAAAAGTAAGGTCACAAGAACAGAGCTGGGAATTAGGAATTGAGTAGACAAGGAAGCAATCCAAGAACATTCTAGTTATGTTATGATATAATGTCTGAAAATATTAAGGAGATGATACAGACCAGGAAACACGCTTCTTGACCACATTAAGATACCATGTATTTATTAATTTGATGCCCAGTATAAGAAGATGAACTAATTTACAAGGTAGTGTATGTGGTTAAGAGCATAGGCCCTGGAGCCAGACTGCTTGGGTTTGAATCCTGGCTTTATTATTTCCTAAAATATGTGTTGAGCAAGTGAATTAACTCCTCCGTGCCTGTGCACAGTGAGGATAATAGTAGTTGCTCTCCTGTGGGCTGTTGAGAGGAAGAATGCATGTTAGAATGACCATTGCTCCGGATGTCTGTGGCCCTTTAGTATATGGCCTGCCACTTAGCGCAGTGCCTCCCGCTATTAGTATTATTTGAGGAGCAGGACTCTAAATTGCAAAAGTGATTTTAATAGTGGTAGTTGGATGGGTGGGAGAGATTGCAGAGTGGAGGTGTATCAGTTCCCTAGGATGTCGAAGGCAGTGGATTTTCCCCCTGTGTTTTAGACAATTAAAGGGTAGGATTTAATAATAGGCTGTCATGGGAGATAAAAGAGGAAAGGAAAGGGATGATCAAAGCTTGGAGAGGAGGATTAGAGGTGGAGGAAGGGATTTTCTAAATGGCACTGGGCTGTGATGGCCCCAAGGGCAGGAGAGAAGCCCCTCTCATTGATTTGCTGCTGGACGCCGTTCCTTGCGGTTTATTCCTCCTGGGGAAGGCTCAGCCCTGTGCTGTTTCCCCTCTCTGGGTCCCTGTGTGTCTCTTCTCTGAGCCCCTGGAGGGTTTGTGCTTTCTGTGACTTCTTCATTGCTCTTCTGCCTTGAAATTGTGACTTTTGAAGAATGTTATTTCTAAATTTAAAACTTTTTTAAAAAAGTTCAGACCCTTATCTATAGATTAGACCAGCGGTTCTCAACCGGTGGGTCGTGACCCACACATACTGTATTAAAGGGCTGCAGCATTAGGAAGGTTGAGAACCACAGAATTAGACAAAGGACCGAAGAGGGATAAAGACTAGAGAGAGTTTCTGGCTTATTGAATGGGAGCATTAACTTCTTTGTTGTGTAATTTCTCAGTCCCCTGAGCCAGCGAGCCATGGAACCAGTGAGCTAGCTACATAAATAAATAAATAAAATGCAATGTTTGCCTAAGGGACAAGGAAAGAATAGAGATTAACTATAGTATGATTAAGAAGAAAAGAACATGGTTTAAAATGTGATTT